AACTACAGGCCGATCTCCAAACTCCCTTTTATTTCCAAAATATTGGAAAAGGTAGTTCTAAAACAACTTCAGGCCTTTTTAGATGCAAATGGTATTAACAGAAAGTTTCAGTCTGGTTTGAAACCTCGCCACAGCACAGAGACAGCCTTAGAGTTTTTAATGATCTTCTTTTAACCGTTGACTCTGGCTATTCCGTGGTTTCCGCTGCTTTGACACGGTTAACCACAACATTCTTCTATCAAGAGTGGAACATGTTGTTGGTCTCAAAGGTTTTATCTTGGTTTAAATCCTACCTCTCAGAGAGGTCGTTCTCTGTTGCTATGGGGCAACACTCCTCGGCCTCTGCCCCTATTTACTGTGGTGTGCCTCAAGGGTCCATGCTCGGTCCTGCTCTTTTCTTTGTACATGTTGCCGTTTGGATTAATTTAAAAAAAATATAGCATCTCCTTTCACTGTTATGCTGATGATATCCAGATTTATTCACCTTTGACATCTGATGTGTCTGCTTCTTTGCAAACTCTGTTAAACTGTCTGCATGAAGTTAAAATTTGGTTACCACATAATTTTCTTACACTGAACGAGAATAAGACTGAAATCATAGTTTTTGATAGTCACACTCCGCCAGACCAGTTAGCTGATGCCTTAGGCCAGGGGTGTCAAACTCAAATACACAGGGGGCCAAAATTCAAAACTGGAACAAAGTCGCGGGCTAACATTAATATTTATTGAAAAAAAAAATCTTCCTCCAGATATAAGAATGAATCTTTTCTTATGGACTCAAGTTTTGCTGGAAAACTGAATATGGAACAAGCAAAGCTTAATACTAAACAATATATATATTAGCTGTATAATACCAGTAGGCCAGCTCTAATAGTAATTTGGTATGGCTTCGCGGACCAAATGTAATTAGGCTGAGGGCCAAATTTGGCCCGCGGGCCAGAGTTTGACACCTATGCCTTAGGCCCTCTCGCCAGCCTCTCGCTCACTGTAAGGAACCTTGGAATGTAAATAAATTTTGATTTGATTTGCGCCTCTCTTCTGCTGCTTTAAATAAACAGAAAAGTGACCCCAAAACAAATGCTTCCCAAGAGAAAACTACAAGTCATATTGACAAAATTCTTTCACTGCGAGCGCCAGCAATGTCCAGTCTACCGAATTCTCACTTTTCATGGCTGTGGAGTTTATTAAATAGACATGTGACAGTGTAAAGACAGCCTGTACTTCTGAAACTCTGAAACTTAAACTGGAACTAAAGAAAAAGTATAATAGATATTGAAAAGATAAATACAAGTTGAATAGTTCAGTGTCTTGGCTTCGTTTTAAAGTTTGGTCACTCTAGGTCAGTGGTTCCCAATCTTTCCTTGCTAGGCCCCCCTTTGTTTTACATGAACCCCCCCGCACAAAAAAATTCTCCAACCACACACACATATTTTGTTATCAAACTCCATTGCGGTTTAATTCACACCTCAAACATTTAGTAAACAATTAAACAAATAAAAGTAAACTGCAATAAATTACAGGTAGTAATTTTACGCTGCGTCCACACCTACACGCAGCTGTTTCTATGCGTTTGGGCCTTTCGTCCACACATAAATAACATTATTGTTTACATGAGGTTCATTTCTGATAGCAGAAACGGCCCTAACCAATCTGGCGCCCTAGGCAAGATTTTAGGTGGCGCCTCCCTACATCAGCAGTGTAGTGTAATGTTGTAACAAATAATATTTCTATTAAATAAGCTTTACTTTGCATTTTAATTAACGTGGGATTATTTTTTGTATTTAGAAATAATAGTACCAACTTTTTTTCTTTTTTTTTTTTCAACATTTGTGGCACTGGCGTGGCGCCACCTGATAGCCGGCGCCCTTAGCATTTGCCTATATGGCCTATGCCACGGGCCAGCCCTGGCTGATAGAGACGAAATACTGTTAATCTGACTATCTTCAGGTTTTACATGCTTACATACACACACGCAATAACTGTCCCTTCATTTACAAAGGCAGAGGTGTCACAGTGTGATTATTTTACATGTAGCTGTTTTTTTCCTGTGTAATAATATTCAACATTGCTATCAATTTATTTTTTTCAAAAAATGCCTCTCTGTGCATAACGGTGTTCAAAAACATAAACAGCTGTAGGATCCTGTTTGTCTGTGATTTGAACCGAGGGAACAAATCGTGGCAGGATCAGCCTGATGTTATTTGTATCCAGCTGTAACTTTACTGTATAAAGAGCAAACATCTCCAACATGTCAGGAGCAGTTAGTCATTACAACAAGTGTTTGAACTAAAGATCGAGAATGTGGGATCCTGTTTGTCCGTGATTTGAAGAGCCCAGCGCTGCTCCCGACGCAGGGAAAACCAGTTCTGCAGCGGAGACCGACCTCAGCACCTGTGCAGGTGAAGCCAAAGGGAAGATTTGCTTCACCATATTTTCTAGTCTTTGGCTTAGAAGGAAGTTGGTTTAGAAACATATTCAGCGATGCTTCATCTCCTGCTTTGCGTTTGTGCGGGAGCCCCGTCAAAAACCTGTCCACGATGCTAGCAGTGTCCAAGCGTTCTTTTATTGTTTTTCTTTTCATACTGCGCCCCCTTCAACATTTTTAACTTAACAGCTTCATTTCAACTCAAAACATTCAACTATCAGCATCCAAGCTGCAGTTTCTTCAGAAAATGCATTTTCTAGTTTTAATTCTGTTATTAACCCCTGTGCCACTGTTACTATGCAGGCTTCCTTTCCACTTTGTGAAAACTGAATCGCTTCATTAAAAAATCTCAGCCTTATGAACTCTGCATTCACAGGCAGTGTTAGAGTTCAGTATGAGTACAATCAGGCCTGTTTTATGTTTTTATATTTAATTCATTGTCTTCTTATTTATCTTTATTTGTTTCTCTACAGTTTTTTCTTGTTTTTAACTGATTGTGAAGCACTTTGGTCAACTCTGTTGTTCTTAAATGTGCCATACAAATAAATTTTGAATTTGAATTTTTTTTCATAAGCTTATCAAGTAAGCTAATGAAAATGACATTGTAAATAAAAATGTCTGTTTTATTCGCTGATGTTTCCTGAACATCGACAGAATGTGGAGAACAGAACATCTGTTGTGTTTACCAACTGAAGATAAGGCAGAGATACCGCTTTGTACCACAAGATGGTGCAGTAAATCAGTGTAACAGTTCTTTAATAACAATCTGAAGTTGAGAGATGAACACATTTTGCAATAAAAGTACATTAAAAGGCAGAGTTTATAAAGTCCTCTGACCAAATTAAAGACACATACAAGTAAAAATCAAACAGACAGAATTAGGGCTGTTCGATATAACGATATATATCGGATGACGATGTAAAAACGTCGATGGTTTCATTTTACGCTATCGTTTGTTTCGTGGTTACGGTTTACGGCAATATTTGTTCATGGTTTGATGGTCACTGTAGTGGCTATATTCATTTCTTAAAGTTCTCTCTTTCTCTTATATTTAATATAACCACACTACGGGTGGACAAGCGCCTGTTTTTATGCGTTGTCGTTAGCAACAACGACGGTAACAGCATCGCGTGTCCGCTTGTTCCACATAAACCTTTCACAATAAAGCTCAAGATCCTGTTGAGACTTTTCAAAATAAACTGAATCACGTGAAAGATGCACATTATTTATGGATGAGAATTAAAAAAGAGTTGTGTAAAAATATGTTTCATATTTTAGATTCTTGGCAACAGCCACCCTTTGCTTTGATTTCTGCTTTGCACACTCTTGGCCTTGTCTCCATGAGCTCCATGAGGTCGTCTCCTGAAATGGTTTTCCAACAGTCTTGAAGGAGGTCCCAGAGATGCTGAGCGCTTGTTGGTCCTTTGCCTTCACTCTGCGGTGTGCAAAGCAAAAATGTGCTTGTATTTGCTAATTAAATGTGAAAACACTGAAGCATTCCTACAAAGTCCTATATTTGAGCGCACACTAATAAAATCCCTTCTGTGACCATCACTGCAAACAGCCAGCTGATCTACACAGCAACAGGGATCCTTGAATATCAGACGAACACAAGAACAGAAGCCTCAGTGGAGACGAAAACTAGAGACAGAAAGGAGGGAAGTTACCCAACTATCAGAACTGCAGAGAAGTGTGATGGGACGCCTAACAAGTACAACAAGCTGTACAAACCTGAGGCCTTAGAAAGACCCAGGCAGTGTCGTACTGATGTAGTTAGTCAGTTACATAATTAACCAGCCGTTAATATGAAAGTCATTGTTCAAGCTCAGCTTCTTCTAACATGAGATGATCGACTGCTTTGCTTTGGCGTGTACTCAACTGACAGTTTATTAGGAACACATGAAAAATAATGAAACAGATGTCTGTTATGAAATTCTTCATCTTCTGTTCTGAAGTTTATGGGGAGAAATTACTTTCTTTTGAGGAACCATTAATCTGTTCACCGACCTTCTAACTTTACAATCATGCTGAAGATCCTTCCTGCCCTGCTGGTTGGACTTGGTTTGGAGGTCGCTGTTTCATCGTTAACAGCAGTCAGAAGAACTGGACTGATGCTGAGGTACATCAGGAAATAACAGCAGCTGTCGCTGCATCACTGATGACATAAAGACTTTCTGTCTTTGACTCATTTTAAATGCATTCTCACACTTTTCATCTTCTGTGCACCTCATCTTCCTCCTCAGAGTTCCTGTCAGACACTCGGTGGAAATCTGGCCTCATACCACAGCACAGCTGAGTACACCTTCATCAGAGAGCTCATTCGCACAGCAGCAGGGTCATATCCAACAGCTTGGGTTGGAGGCAACGACAGAGAGACTGTAAGTGTTTCACAGATAAAGAGGATGAGCTGCAGCTGTTTCTGATATTTCATATGTTTCTCTTCATATTCATCAGTTTGATTCAAATTTTATAATTTTGTCAAATCCAGGTCTGTGTTTTGTATATAAGACTTAGTCGTGTTCTTCTTTGTGTTAACTGAGATTTGTCTTTGAGCTGCTAGTGAGTATCTGCTGGCAGCAGACATGAAGTGTAGAGGGCTCTTGTCTGCACTCTCAGCATAAATGCACCAAAGTACATCAGAACAAAGTGAACCTCAAACTTTATTTCTGTGAGGGTTCTCAGTCATCCCGGTCATCGTAGTCTAAGGAGCTTGGAAAGAAAAATGTTTGGACTTCTTTAAGTTGCTTGCTTTCAAGCATTTAAGCAACTTAAATGCTTTTCTTTCCAAGCCCCCTAGACCTCAAACTTTATTCTTTCAGGAAACTATGTGGATGTGGAGTGATGGTTCCCAGTTTGACTTCCCAAACTGGGCCAAAGGAGAGCCAAATGATTATAAAGGAAGAGAAGATTGTATGACGATAAACAATGGAGGTACAAACTGAATCTGGGTTCATTTTTGAAATCCATTTTTATTTTAATTCAAATTAAAATCATGTAATCTTAGGTCTTTAACAGAACTGTTTTTTTCTTTTACATTAGAAAAGAAGAAAACATTTACTGCACAGACCTCTGATTTTATTTCTATTCTTCTTTATTTTGAACCGTTTTTACAGGACAGGATTATGTCAACGATGCATGGTGTAACACCAACACACCTTTTGTTTGTGTCAGAGATCCGTAACTGCTTCTTCGTGTGCTGACAGATCTGTATTGATGATGTCACTTCCATCACTGCTGGTGGATGTATTGACAAATATGGTTTCATATAACATGTCAAAGAGATTGACATCCCCCAGCTTATCTCCATCCAAGAGTGAAATAACGGACAACTATCCAGCCTTTTCATGGTTAAAGTAACACAGAGTGCTATAACAATATATCTATATGTGATTCTGCTAATAGTTCATTATATATAAACTTCTAATCAAATATGAGTATAATCAATATAATATATGAGAAATGAAACTTCCGTAATGCTTGAACTTTGCCCTGGTTTGTGCTGCAGGGGCTGATCTAGAGAAATTTACTTAAGAAGGCAAAATCAAAGCCATTTCTTTTCACATATCCATCTGCATTCTGTAATATCTATTAAATATGTTTAAAATACATAAAATGGAGTAAGTATGAATTTGTTTTATATAAGCATACTCTTTAAATTTCTTATTTAACCCTATCTAACCCTATTTATCCCACATAATTAAATATTACAGTCAAATAAAACATTTTTCATGTGCTGTACAGCCTGTAAAATGAATAATTATGT